CTCCCCGGGCCCCCGGACCGTCACAAGGCGACTCAGGATGCAAAATCGGCCCCGGGGAAAGGGTCGGGACTTCCAGGGGCCCCGTCTTCAAAACATCAGGACGTCGCATGTCTGCGTCCTGCTCCCTCTCTTGCACGCCGGCCACCTCGCGCATCGGTTGCCCCGCATCGCTGCTCGCTGGTGCAGTGCTGCCTCGCCGCCGGCGCAAAGAAAGCGGGGCGCGGGGAGGCTCGGCGGTGGACAGGCCTCCCTTTCGTAGACCTCCCCTTGGTGAAAACGGCCCGGGGCCGAGACCGACGGACCTGGACCCGCAAGAATGACGGCCGCGACGCCCTCTCGCGAACCGAAAACGGCCAATTCCTCAATCGACGTGTCAGGGTAGGAGGTCTGCCCACCTCCGATCAAAATGGGCAGAGGCTGCTGCCGGTCTTCGTGCCCCTTCTTTCCATGCCCATCTCGACCGCACCGATGCGTCGCCGATGCATCCCCGCCCTCGGCGTGGAGAGCATCAAAAGTCGGGCTCCGCACCGAGCCGCATTGGCGATGCATGGGCGACGCGGCACGATCCTCCGACCCCTCTTCTCCCTGGTCCTCCTCCCTCCTCCCCCCCTCCTCCTCCTCCTCCTCCTCCTCCTCCTCCTCCTCCTCCTCCTCCTCCTCCTCCTCGTCTTTGCTTCTCCTCATTCTCCTTCTCCTCCTCCCCCTTCTCCTCCTCCCGGGGGAGGCGGGGAAGGGTCTGGCTCTGGACCTCTGCAGCATGCGACTGTTCGCAACGGTGCTTCCTCGGAGGGAGGGAGGGGCCCCGCCTGCTCGAAACAGGCGCCAAAAGCAGACACGGTCTACTCCATGGGGAGGGGGGAGGGAGGGGTGCGAGAGCCCGCGCCGATCGGCAAAACAGTGAACAAAAGAACGATCACGACCTCGATGCAGCGCGCGGATTCTGTTTGCTATTAGCCCCGACGACCTCAGGGTCGTCAAGGGAGCTCGCAGGAAGCGGTGCCCCGAGCCTCCCGGCGACCGTGGTGGGTGCACTGGGCCAAGATGCTCGACGAGATTGTCGTTCCGGAGGTGGAGCAAAAGGCGGATGGGGGGGATCAGTAGAGGCCTCCCAGATGGGGATCGAGTAGATGGGGTTGGAGGATCGCGCCGCATCCCCGATGCATCGCCGACACCGGCGATGCATCGGCGAAGTCGGCGTAGAAAAAATTGGCCCCACATCAAGCCGCATCACCGATGCATCGGCGATGCGGCGCGGTCCTCCGACCCCATCTGCTCGCACCCCATCTGGGAGGCCTGGATCCCCAAATCCACGACGTCATGATTTTTTCACGACGTCGACCCCCCGAGGTCTGGACCCCTTCCCCGGGACCAGTCTTTTGTCCTGAGCCTTTTTTTGACGGTCCTGGGGCCCGGTGAGGGCCCCTGGAGGCCGAAAATTGTGAAAACCCTCCCGCCGTGATTTTTTTCCCCAGCTCGAGGGGGTCTGGGGAATCCGTTTCGCCTTGCGTCGAGCGACCGCGCCGTGGCGAAGGGGGGGTCGTTCTCGTTGTGTGCCCCGCCACGCATGTCGGCACGCCCCTCACACGGTTCGTGGCCCCATGGGAGCGCGGGCGAAGATGATATTCATAACTTGCGGTGCTCACCACTGCGTATGGTTGGGTCCTTCGCCGGGCTAATTTTTCCCCAGCTCGAGGGGGTCTGGGGAACCAGTCTCGCCTCGCGTCGAGCGACCGCGCCGTGGCGAAGCGGGGGGGGGGGTCGTTCTCGGCACGCGGGGGGGCTCGCTCGCGGCGGGGCGCTCTGAGGCCGCGCGGGGGGCGGCCCTGCGCGGCACCTGCGCCGCCCCGGGCGGGCGACGTCTCGGTCGGGCGGGGTGGCAACGCGGGGTGGCATCTCGGTCGGGCGGGGTGGGAACGCGGGGTGGCATCTCGGTCGGGCGGGGTGGCAACGCGGGGTGGCATCTCGATCGGGCGGGGTGGCAACGCGGGGTGACCCAGCTTCGGCGGCGCACCGAGGGGGGAGTGAGAGCCCAGACCTCCTCGGGCTGTGAGAGAATCACGACGGGAAGCTTTTCAAATTTTGTTGCTGCTATTTTCGGACTCCGAGGGCCCTCACCGGGCCCCGGGACCGTCAAGAAGGGGTCCAGACCTCGCAAACCTCTGGGGGTCGACGTTGTAAACAAATCATGACGTCGGGGGTCTGGGAAGGAGAACACCTTCTCAGAAGGTTCAGAAGTCCTCTGGCCTTCTGAAAGGTGTTCTAAGCCTTGCCCGCAGACACCAAAAATCTCTCAGAAGGCCAGAGGCCTTCGGAAAAGCCCCGCCGCCACCTGCGAAGGCCTTCTTCGTCACACCCCCCCCCTCGCTCGCCGCCGACCAATAGGGGGTGAAGACAAGGGCCCTACAGGTGCCCTTCAGGGGCTCTCTTGCAGCCCACCGAGGGCCCAAAAGGAGCCCTGAAGGGCCCTTTTCTTCACTCCCTCCATTTCTCGGGTCGGGCGAAAGGGGGGGACAGCAAAAGGGGGTTTGAGAATCAGCTCGCGTAGCTGATCTTCCCGGCGCCTCCCGGCGCCTGAGGCGGCTATGTGTCGAGGAATGGGCCCCTCGGTGAGGCCGAAACCAGCTGCCTGCAGCAAATGTCGTAACCCCCCCTTTCCCAATCCCCCCCTTCCGTCCGGCCCGAATTTCGGCCCCCCGCCCGGCTCACTCTCCCCCTCTCTCCCCCTCCCGGCCTGGTCGGCTCTCGGGCCTCCCAGGCAGCGCCTGCATGGGGCATCGCGCGGCCCGCAGCGCCGGCAGGACCCTGCGCTTCTGGATCCCGAGGTCCCCCCCCCCTCCACAGCTCGGTGGCGAGCGAGGGTGGGAAATGGGAAGGAGAAGGCCTTCTCTCAGGATCGGGGGCGCGCAGACATGGATTACCGAGCCATGGATTGGCGCGCGGTCGCCAAATCCGTGGATCGGGGAAGGTGCCAACCCCCCAAATACGGCCGGTGCCGCCTCGCTCGGCGGCGGAAATCCGTGATTTTCCGTGGAAGCGCGACCCGTCGCTGATGCACGCCCCCTTGATCCATGTTTGCTCTCAAAAGGCTCGGAAGCCCCCCGGCCTTCCGAGAAGTTCTCAGAGCCTTCCCCGAAGACGCAACACAAACCTATGAGAAGGCGCGGGGGCTTCTGAGAAGTCCCGCTGCCTTCTGAGAGGGCCTTCTCCTTCTCATTTCCCCCCCCTCGCTCGCCGCCGAACAGTTCTCGCCCCCTTTCCGCTTCCCCCTGGGGTGACGCGGCACGCACAAGGGGGGCCGGACGAAGGGGGCGGCCTCTTCCAGAATTCATGTTTCTCTTTCCAGAACGGGTCCAACGCTGCTGTGTATAAAAGGGGCCCATGGACATACAAAGAAGTAGACACGAATCCCAAAATGTCCCATATTTTCGCATATTTTTTCCGGATTTTCGTCTTCACCCCTTTTCCTACATTTTCCTAGGAATCGACGATGAATTGTGCCTGTGTGTTTTTCCCCCTCCTGAGTGTAAGGTGGCTCCTGGGAAGGCGGGGGGGCTTCCAAGGAGCACCCTGTCTTCTGAGTCCGTGCAGGACCGAACAGCGAGCGGGCCCGCACGTACTCCGCCTCGTACTCTCGAGCTGCTCAGGGCAGTCGGGGAGCGTAGTCTCAGACGTTGCGTGCGGGCGTGCCCCCTTCACTTTTCCCAGCCTCCTCCCTCGAGGCCTTCTCGATGTAGGCGAGGCGCTCTGGGACGCTCGCGTGATCGTTCTTGTGCGAGTCGAAATCCTGCTGGCCAATGGGCACGAAGAAGAGCAGGCGACGCACGGAAGATTGACGACCCCGGGGCGCAAGAAAGCACGCTGGAGCGGTCCATTCGAACGACTGGTGGGCTCCCCCCTTGAACGCCATAGCCATTCTACATTTTTTCCGTGGATGGTGCTGCGGCCTGGTAGCTTTCCCCCAGCTCGCAGCAGAACATTCGCGTGATTCTGAAGATACGGGCGTATCTGCCTCTTTGCCCAGGATCTGCTCAATGTTGGGAACAGCATGCGGAAAATGATGTGGTCCATCGCTGCAGAAGCTGTGTTAGCGCTAACGTGTGCTTGCCATCGAAGTCTCTCAGTGCGACGCAGGCAGCGCAACTAATGAGGACCGATCGAGGCTGCGTTCTACTGGTGGAACTGATCGGGGCAAACACTTTTTCTTACGTCGCAGCGCGGCAAAATCAGTCCGCACGCGCGCTCGGCAGGCCTGGAGACGGCTTTGCTCATCACCCCGAATGCACAGAGGAGGACAAGAAAGAGGCGGCCGCGGGAGGGGAGCAGGGCGAAGGGCAGCTTGGCGGCGCGCACAAGGGGGTGATGGGGAGGGGGGAGGGCTTCTTAGAAGGAGGCTGCTTCTTAGAAGGCGCCGGCCGTACATCTATAGATAAGGCCAGCGCCTTCTAAGAAGCAGGGGTGCTTCTAAGAAGCCCTCCCCCCTCCCCCCACCCACCTCTGCGCGTGGCTGAGCAGCGCGCTCACGCGGCCGGGGCCGCCACGGGGCGCCCGGCGCGACCGAGCCGGTGCTGCACCCCTGGCAGCGGGGGCGGGGCGGCGTCGAAGTAAACACGTCCAGAGGGCAGTCGAACAAAAAAAACGGCGGCCGCCGCCGCCGCCGCCGCCGTCGCCGCCGTCGTCGTCGTCGGCGTCGTCGTTGCCGCCGTCTTCGTCGTCGTTGCCGCCGTCGTCGTCGTCGTCGTCGTCGTCGTCATCTTCGTCGTAATCGTCGCTGTCGTCGTCGTCGTCGTCGTCGTCGTCGTCGTCGAAGTCGTCGTCGTCGTCGTCGAAGTCGTCGTCGGGCCTTCTCCTCTGCGTGGGGCGTGCGGCGGCCTTAAAAATGGGGCGGCCCCTTCAAAGAGGCCGTCTGCCCTCTCCCAAGGCCGCACTGCTCGCCCTGACCCCACCCGCGCACGCTGCCGGCGTGCACCCAGCCGGCTCACCACCCGCCGCGGGGGGCTCTCCTTGAGGTGCTTGTCGTGCGCCCTCTTCATGTCCTCGACCATCCTGGCAGCAACGGCCAGGCTCGCGGTCCGGGTGGGCAATGAGGAAGGGGTGAGGATGGATGGGGGAGGACGGACGGGGAGGGACTCTTCGCGCGCCCTCCGCTCGCCCCCCCGAGCTGTCGCGGGGCATGCTCCCTCGGCTCAGTCGATGTCGAACACCCGCGCTGCCCGCGCGTCCCCTGGGGCGCAGCCCGCCCCTCCCCTCAGCCGGCAGCCCCACGCCATCTGCCCGGGCGCCCCCGCTGCGCCCGGCGCGCCTGCCGGTGCGTGGGCCGCGGCCGCATCGGACCCGTGCAGCACGCCCCGCCGCCAGCGGCGCCGCCGCCTCTTCGCGCCGTCGCCGTCGCCCCGCTCCGCACCTCCAGCGGCCATGGCCGCGGCAGCCGCCTCGGCCTCACGCAGCGCGGGCTCCAGCGGCGCCGCGTCGGTGCCGCTCGGGCACTTCTGGAGCATCGCGCCCGTGAGCTCGCAGACGACGATGTCTTCTGGAGGCAACCACCCGTCGCACACTGGGCACCGCCAACGCCGCTGGAAGCAAGCGCGGGAACACGTCACCAAGTACGCCTCCAGCTCGAAGCAACGCAGGTGACGGCATGCGCGGCCCCTGGCGGGAGTGCGCATCCGCTGGCAAGTCAGCGGGCAGGTCAACGGCTGGATCCACGGAGACTCGCACTCCTGCGAGCCGCCTAGTGCCGCCGCCTCCTCGCCCCGCAGCCGAGACCACAATTCCGCTGCCCGTGCCGCGCCCGCCGGCGGCCTGCTCAGGCACTCGGCCAGGAGCTCCGACACGGTGCGCCGCTTGGCGACGCGCACGGCGCAGAGCACAAAGCTGGAGGCCCCCGCGCAGCCGTCGTCGACCTCTACGCGCATGTGGCAGGACCCGCCACCCCTCGTCGTTGAGGGCTTAACGACTTCTGCCATCCGTCGACTCGCGCTGGAGTGGCCGCGATTTGCCCCAAATTTACCGGGAGATCTCTGCATTGACCCGGATTTGCCCAGATTTACTTCGATTTATCTGCATTCGCCTGATTTATCTGGCTCGCTCCCCACGAGCCGATTGGCGAAAAGCCGTCAAGCCCCCAGGGACCTCGTGGCGTAGAGCCGCGTGATGTCTACCGGCGCGTCGTTACGGCGCTCGCCGTCGCGCGGCGGCTTCACGGAGAACGCCTCCTCGCCGTCCATGAGCACGGCGAGCGAGCGCGGCCACTCGTGCCGCCTCGGCTCCTCGCGCCGCACCATCCGCAGCTCCACGGCCTCGCCCTCCGCGAGCGTGGTCCCCCGGAGCTCGGCCCAGGCGGCACCGACGGGGGGCACCGACTCCAGGGCCAGCACCTCTCGGCTACACGCAAGGAGCGACCCTGGGCAAGAGTGGCCTCTGGTGCGCGACCTCACGGGGGACGCAGGGTGGCCCAATCCAGACGCGCACAAGCAGCCGCTGCCGCTCCGCGCCCAGCGATCGGGGGATCCCGATGAGCCCGCACCAAGGGTCACTCCTGCGAAGGGGCACTCTCACGCGTAGTCGGCACCTCGGCCACCCGCGCGAGGGGGTCCAAGGCCCCGAAGGTGCAGGCGCACGCGCCGTCGCCCGCGGGAGGCCAGCCGCAGCTGCCGCACGCGGCTCGGGCGCCCGGTGCCCCACGCCCCCGCCGCGCCAGGCGGCGCCCGAGCGGCGTCGGCACGAGCTCTGGCGCCTGAGGTGGGCAGCGTGGGCGAAAGACATCACCGCATCCGTGGCCTCGCGGGCTGGGCCCTTGGGCCGCGACCCCGCGGATACAGTCGACCCGTATACAATGAGGGTGCACGATGAGGATGCAGGGGCCTTGGAGGGCCATCTCGAAGCTCCTCGGGCGGGGCGCGGCCAACGAAGGTGGCCAAGGATGGACGGAGGAGGCAAAGACGCAAGGGCACCCTTGGGAAAGCTGCCCTTCCGTGCTTTTCTTTTCGGGTTGACTGTACCCGTGTCCGAGGCCTCGCAAGCCAGGCCCCTGGGCCGCGATCCCGCGGATACGGGGCGTTTCTTCGTGGATGCCCGCTCGGAGCGCACCCGTGCGACCGCGTACTTGCGTGGGGCCGCGCCCCGGAACCCGGACAGCGAGGGCGCGGACACGGATGGCTTCGCGGCTCGTGAGGGCAGCCTCCGTCGGACGCAGCCGGGCTAGAAGAAAGAGAAACGGCATGTGCATAAACCTTCGCAACCCCGAGCGGATTTCTCGGATCGGCACTGGGCCGCGCCCCAGGGGCGGCGCCGGAAGCGCCGCCAGGGGGCTCCAGCGCCGATCCGAGAAATCCGCGCGGACCTCCAATAGTTTATGCTTACGGCATTGTCTGTTGCCCGAGCCTGGTGGGCGGCCTCCGCTGGACGCGACTGGTCGCAGGCGCGGGCCGCCAGCCCACCCAGCTGCCTTCTGAACGAAGGATTGCAAACAAAAACCCTTTTTTGCAATCCTTTGTTTTTTGCAATCCTTTTTTGCAATCCTTTTTTGCAATCCTTCGTTTTTTGCAATCCTTCGAGCAACTCGTGGGAGCCTCCCACCTGCCATTTTGTTGGCCCCTGCGAGTCGATGCGAGTCGACGCTCACCGATGCCACATCGGCGTTACATCGGTGCCATATCACCGACTACCACACGCTGGTCGGCGCGGAGGCACCCAGGCTACAAAACCATCCTTCAAGAACACGAGGCACTTCGTCGGCCAAAACAGACAGAACAGCCAAAGGTCCCCCCACCCAAGATACACAAAGACATCAGACAAACGGCATAAACATAAACTTTTGGCGCTCCGCGTGGATTGGTTGGATCTGCGCTGGACCCCCCCCTTGGCGCGCGGAGCGCGCCATGGGCGGTGCCGGAGGCGCCGCCAGGGGGGCCCAGGCGCCGATCCAAGAAATCCGCGCGGAGCGCCAATAGTCTATGCTTATGGCGTGTTTCCTTCCTCGCCTCCCCGAGCCGACCTCGACCTTTTACACCTCGGTCCGACGATGCCAGGCTCCCACGAGTTGCCCCCCCGAGCCGCCGGCTCTGCCACGCCAGGATGTCGGCGACCATCTGCTCGCGGCTCGGGCCCCCGCCGCGGGGCGGCCGCGGCCGCAGCCCGCAGTCCGCGCAGAGCCCGCGCAGGTCATCCAGCCCGAGGGCGCGGAGCTGCGGCGCATTCATGGGCGCCGGCCGTGCGCGGGGCCCAGGCCTCCCAGGGCCACGACGAGCATCAGCACCGGCGACGAACAAGCAGGAGACACAGGCCCCAGGATTCCACACATATTTTCCGGTACTTCTGGCACCGTTCGCATTCCGCTTTCGCTTCCCGTTGTTCCCAACAGTTTCCACGGGCTCGGCTTCTGATTGTGTCAGTGTGGCTTTGTCCCTCTAACATCTGGACGCCCGACATCGGCCCTGACGAAATTCAGCACGGGCGACGAACAATCAATCTATGTAAATCCCAGGATTCCCCGTATATTTTCCTATGCTTTTTGATTTTTTCGTATTCCCCCCCACGCTTCCCACTTTTGTTCCACATTTTCCTGGGCATCGGATTCTGATGGTGTCTGTATCTATTTTCCTCGGGACGATCAACTTTTGATTGTCTGTGCCGATCTGTCCCTCCTGACCTCTGGGCGCCAGACGTGGGCCCGGACAAAAAGGTGTAAGTACGATGCAAAAAACGGCCCAACAGATCCGATGTCGTGTTTTCTTTTTTCAATGGAAGTCTCGACCCATTCCCGAGGACAGGTCTTTCACCTTGAATCCTTTTTTGACGGCCCTGGGGCCCGGCGAAGGCCCCCAGAAGCCGAAAGCTGCAACAAAAACCTCCGTCTGGATGCTGTCAGCGCGTTGGCTATCTGGGACTCAGGGTGGAAAGCCGGTCCTGGGGAATGGGTCGAGGCCTCAGGCGGTCGACACTCAGACGAACAAGAAAGGACCATGGCGTTGGGGGTTCTGGGAGCCGGAGGGGGCGCCGCCTGCGTGCCGGGGCAGCGGCGCCGGGGCTCCAGAGCCGCGAGGAGGAGGCGGACGAGGGAGGACGGCCAGGGCGGGAGAGGGACTACCGAGCAATGCCATGGAGGGACCAGCGTCCGTCAAGACAGAACGAGTGGAAGCCGAGGGCGGCCAAGCTTCGAGGACGGTCAGCTTCGAGGGGCAGGGGGGCGGGAGAGGGACTACCGAGGAATGCCATGGAGGGACCAGCGGCCGTCAAAACAGAACGAGTTGAAGCCGAGGGCGGCCAGCTTCGAGGACGGCCAGCTTCGAGGGGCAGGGGGGCGGGAAAGGGACACCGAGGACTACCATGGAGGGACCAACGTCCGTCAGAGCAGAACGAGCCGAAGCCGAGGGCGGCCAAGCTTCGAGGACGGCCAGCTTCGAGGGGCAGGGGGGCGGGAGGGGACACGAGGAACCATGGAGGGACCAGCGGCCGTCGGAGCAGAGCGAGCCGAAGCCGAGGAGGGGCCCCCGTCCCCGCGGTGGGGGGTGCGCGCGCGGGCGGCGCGCGCGGGGCCCTCCTCGGTGAGGAGGCGGGAGCCGCCGAGGCGGGCGGCGCCCGCGGGGGCGCGCGCGCGTGCGCGCGCACGGACGGCGCGCGTGCGTGCGCGCGCACGGGGGCGCGTGCGCGCGCGCGTGCGCGCGGCGTGCGCGCGCGTGCGCGCGCACGGCTCGACATACGCGACAATACGGATGATCTGGCCATGGACATACGGTAATACGCGACATACGGTAGTACGCGACATCGCTCGGCATCCGCGACATACGGTGATAGCCGCATGCTCGACCTACGCGACAGTACGCGACAACACGGTGCTACGCCCCATCGGCCCAGCCCGACAGATGCCTTTCTGCAACGGGTCGGGAAAGGGGGGAGGCGGGCCATGGGCCGGAGACAGGAGCCAGAGGGTGTAGGCCTCCCTGTGGCAGTCTCGGATGGACACGCAAGGATCGGGCCCGGGGCCCCTCCCTCCCAAGGTGGCCAGCGAACTCCCTGGAGAGCCGCCCTGAAACTGCTGGGTGCGTGGAGTGGCGTCCTGGGAATCAGACTCCTACCTGGGAGCGGAGTCCTGGCAACACGATGCTTCACGTGAGCGTGAACTTTGTGTGTACATGTGGCCCCAAACTGTGTGCCAATGCGTAACAATCTGGCAACACGGTGATCCGCGGGCGAGTAAAGGTCGCATCTGGTTATCTTGAACAGTGGGTAGGTTCTCGGCAGTGGAGTTTTGGCAATGCGATGCTCCCTGGGTGGGAAGGGGTTGCATCTTGTGTATCAGAATCGTATCTGGGAGCGCAACTCTGGTTACACAATATTTCCCCAGCGCGTGAGGATTGCACGTGCCTGCTTAGATTCATGCTCATGGGTGGACGTCTGACAGCACGATGCCCCCCTAGCGCGCAGATGTAAAGCCGAGGACTCAGAACCTTATCCATCAGTTGAGATCCAGCAGCCCGAATTTTGGGGCGCACGTGACGCTTGCATCATATGGCTCAACGCCTTACCTGGGTTTGAAGTCCTGTCGACACCAGGACTCATTGGTATCTCACCCGTCCAAAATAATCGACTAGACAATTAACTCTGTGAGCAATAGGAGTCGTCTTGGCAAGCCTCCATCAAATTTCTAGTTGAAGTGAACGCTGACTGTGGGTGCTCAATGCGGGCATTTTGCCATCAGGCCTCGCTGCGATGTGTTCACTCACGAGGCGACTGCGCTGGTCAAACAGTATTCCGAATCGAGCGGAATTCAAGTCGGCTGAAACGAAAAAAAGGTTTGGCAAGTATTTGACAGGGCCACCAGTTAGTGTGAGCAACATGCCAATACATTACGACGTGCACGGCGTATGCAGTGTCTTACCACTAATGCGCTTGCGCAAACTGAAGGGCGGCAGAAGGATTGATACCCCTGCTAACGACATGTAGCCCACACGAGAAGTGATGCTTGCCCGCCAACTCAATGGAGCGACTTCGGGGAAGGAGCCAGACTGACAGTGCCCTGTTGCCGCGAAAACCACGTGTGCCGCTGGTTCCCCTTGGCTGCCGTGCAAGATGTATGCTGGGTGCCATCTGAATGTTCTAATGTGGAATGTCGACTGGTCTTCAGCTTGGGGCTGAAAATCTTCGGGACAATGGGGATTGCGCCTGGGAGATCTTACGGCCTCCGCCCCAGGGGCTCGGCATGGCCTCAGCATGGGGCAAGAATTCTTCTGGACCATGCTGGACTCGCGTCTGAGGGACGTCGAGGCATCTGCACTGAAGGCCTCCACATGGCCTCAACACAAGCCAGAAGTCTCCAGAACCATCCGGGCGTCGTGTCTAGGGGATGTTGGAGCCTCTGCCCTCGGGCAAGACATTCTTCAGGACTATGTTGAGGCCCTCGCCCTGAGGGCCTTAAGACGGCCTCCAACAGGCGTCACCATGGGCCAGAACTCATTCTGAACCATGCGTGAATCGCGCCTGGGGGGCTGTTGAGGCACTCGCCATGAGAGCCATGGGGCATACATTCTTGATGTCTACGTGGGAATCGCGTCTGGGAAATCTCGAGGCCCTCGCCTTCAGGGCGTCAGCATCGTCCCAACATGGGCCTGACCTCCTTCAGACTATGTGGGCATCACATCCGGTGAGGGTTGATGCCATCGTCATGGTGGTCTCAACCTGGCCTCAACGCGTGCCTGGGATCCCCCAGGGAGCTTGCCACGGCTGGGACGGGCCAGCCCAGGCTACTCTTTTTCAGCTTCCCTGTGCAGTGATTCCTGGTACAAGACGCGCATCCTCGATTCACACAACGACGCGCTGATTTTCCGATGCGTACAAACGATGCATGCGACACGCGGTAACAAAGTTATGCCCGAATGAGAATATCAGCCAGCGCTGACTCCAAATAGATAGGAGGACAGGAGGAGGACGAGATGAGGATGGGAGGATGACGAACGGAGGACGGGGACGGGAGGAGCAACATCAAGCAAGCGCAAGCAAGCAAGCGGAAGCAAGCAAGCAAGCGCAAGCGAGCAATAACAAGCAAGCAATATCCAGCGATCAAGTGCAAGCAAGCAGGGGCAAGCAAGAGCAAGCAAGCGATAGCAAGCCCGCAAAAGCAAGCAATAACGAGCACGCAAGAGCAAGCAAGGGCAAGCGACTCATAGGAATCCATAGGACTCGCCACTGGAAATAGCTGGGGGGTGCCATTGGAAATAAGGGGGGGTGCCATTGGCAAAAGGGGGGGGGAGGTGGGGGCCATAGGAATCGGGGGAGGGCATAGGAATTAGGGGGGAGGGGGGGGGCAACGGATCAATTAGTAGGGTTTGAGTTAGAACTCTTATAGGGCAAGCCTATTTGGAGAATGTTTCCAGCGCGGTTCCAAAACAGTGAGTTGGTGCGACCTACCTGGCGCAAGGCCATTCCAAGCGAAGAAGTCAATTACACCGCAACGGAGGGCATTGCAGGGCAACGCAAACAATGAAAAACAGTGCAAAGCAACGCGACGACAAGGAACTCAATGACCTTCGACGCAACGCTGAACTGTGCGCGTAACGCTAGGTGAAGCAGAGCAATGTACGCAACACGACGCAACAAAGTGCAGAGCAAAGCGACACACCACAAATCAAACCTACCTATGGCACAACCCATTGCACAACCTGTCGCGTGCGGTACCCACCACATCCCATGGGCGTATTGGACTCTACGAGCGCAGCCCACGGTGCAACTAATAGCACAACCTGTGGCGCCCGGATCTTCCCAGGGTCGCAAGTGGCCGTATGGGCGCAACCTTTGCTGCCGCCCCAAGCTCCCAGGGTCTCATACCCAATTCCCCAGGCACGAAAACAGAACCCCTACGTGCGACCACTGTGCGTGGAAATGCGCTCCTGTCCGGCGCTTCGGTCTATGTATGGGGCACTCGTTGCAGGCGCGTGCGCAACAGGGAGACAATCAGAAGCGCGGGTGAGCTAGCGTCAAGCGCTCCCCTTCTCGCCCACTACTCCTCCGTGCAGCAACCAGCAATCTGCATCGGATCGGCCGTGATGTTTCGAGGGCACCTCCCGCGCTCTCGCCAACTCTTGAGCAGGGACCGACCGTCCCGGCATTCCTGTAGTCCTACCACGAAATGTTCGTAGAACCCCAAAGCTGTTCTGAGAACAAGAACAATGTTCTTAGAACATAGGCCCGATGTGTTAAAACAGGACAATTAAAAACAGAGGTGTTCTGAGAACATCTCGTGGAAACCACAGTTCTTAGAACCTTGTTTGGTAGGGCTATAGGCGAGCCAGGACGCTTCGCCACTGCTTGAAACTCCTCTCCCCCAAAAGCGCGAGGGCGCATCGGCGAGGTGCGAGGGCACCACCGCAGGGTCGCGCGGCGAGCCGAGGGCACCCGCCTCTCGAAGCACGCTCTGACGACGCACCCCTTCTCTCTAGACAGGCGCGTTCCACCACTCGCAAAGCAACTGCTCGCAAGCAGCCTGGACCTGCCAGGGGGGATTTGCGGTGCAGTCGAGGCGTTGACCTAAGGAACCCTAAATAAGGAACGAGGCCCCTTTTTCCCATAAGTTCAACCTCGATCTCCTATGGACACCCTCAGGAAAGCCCGAGGCAAACTTTGAAGCAATCAAGGAACACCGAGCCCCTCCCCAACGGCAAAGGGCTCCTTCCTCAGGGCCCCGAATGCACATCACATCGAGGCAGACGTGTGTTTTTTCTGTGGACGTTTGCGACTCGGCACTTTGCGAGGAGGAGCGGCCCTTCTCTAGACAAGCGCGTTCCACCACTCGCAGAGCACCTGCTCGCACCCAGCCTGGACCTGCCACGGGGATCTGCGACACATTCGAGGCAGACGTGTGCCTTGTCTGTGGACGTTTGCGACTCGGCACTCTGCGAGGAGGAGCGGCCCGCGCTCGGCGACCTTTTCTCGGGAGGAGGAGGAGGAGGAGGAGGAGGAGGAGGAGGAGGAGGAGGAGGAGAGGAGGAGGAGGAGGAGGAGGAGGAGGAGGAGGAGGAGGAGGAGGAGGTGGAGGAGGAGGAGGGGGAGGAGGAGGGGGAGGAGGCGGAGGAGGGCCGGGGAGCTCGGAGCGCAATCGAAGCCTGTCGGGGGCCGAGGCAGGCTCCCGGGGCCCCGACCTCCGTCGGCGAGGACCCTCTGGGGCAGGGGGCCGGGCGGACCATCTGGAAGCCCGGGGGGGCTCTCCTCCTCCTCCTCCTCTCCTCCTCCTCTCCTCCTCCTCCTCCTCCTCCTCCCTCCTCCCTCCTCCCCCTCCCCCTCCTCGTCCTCGTCCTCGTCATCGCCTTCTTCCTCGTCCTCGTCCTCCTCCTCCTCCTCCTCGGGGCAGCCGCACCTGTTCAAATGGCAAGCGTGTGCTCGTTCCAATAAGCAGAAGAGGCCATACTCAGCGACCGGCAACAGGATCTGAGTCGCGCATCGTGCACCGACTCGCTTCAAGCATCGTGTCGCCCGAACAGCGAAGACGTCTAAGCAGCATGAAGCAGCGCTTGGGAGGGAGGACACGGGGAACCCGACACCTCCGGGCCCGATTCGGTTAGAACTCGGCGAGTTGCTCCCAGAATGCAGACTCCAACATCACGAATATGATGCAGCTCGACCAAATGTCCGACAACGTCCATCAACACGCCGCGAAAGACGGCCAAACAAATTCTTAGCCAAATGAAATTCCACAACTTCTTAGACATGAACTATACATCGTTGGGCAAATTTCAAGAACTCGGGATTAACGCATGCCGCGATTCGCTAGAAGCTTCCACACATTCACGATACGCACGAATAGGGTAGCTCCGTTTCGACTGTTATTCCAATCCTCCCGCCCGCTCCCTCTCTTGCCTCCCCCGTGGAGGGGGAGAATTCGTCGGAATTCCTGAGAGGCCAGTGAGAGAGCAACCAATCGCAACTTGCCGTGAACAAAAAGGGACAGAACATGAGAGGCGTCCTGGCGTGCTTGTCGGCAGAGTCTCCGAAACCCTGTTCCAAGTACGCGATCCGCTCCTGTGCCACGGGACTGGTGAGATGCGCGACCGCACCTAGCATGCGCGCGCACAGGCGCGCACGTTTTTTTCCGACGCGGCGATGACGACACTATTGGGGAGCACAGCCACGGGTCAGGTTAACAACGGGGTGCACCTTGCCTGGAGTTGTGCACTGGACCTCAAAGCAAGGGCCCCCGCACTCGCACGCCTACGCACGCACGCGCACCCAAGCATCAACAAGCGCGCACACACAGACGCACAGACAGCTAGGCAAACAGAAAGACAGACAGACAGACAGACAGACAGACAGACAGACTGACAGACAGACAGACACACACACAGACACCACCACACACGCACACCACACACAACACACAAACACGCAGACACACACACACACACGCTCACGCAAGCATTCACGCACGAACGCACATCCGGACGCACGCAGCCACACACCCACCTGCACACATGCACGGACGCACGCACACATGCACGGACGCACACATACACGCACACACACAAGCATACACGCATACACGCACTCACGCGCACACGCACACACACACACGCACGCACGCACGCAAGCAGGGTCGACCCCTCCCCCCCCACACACACGAACCCACACACACACACGCACGCACGCACGCACGCACACAAGCGCACGCACACACATGCACACACACACACGAACACACACACACACAAACGCACGCACCCACGCACGCACCCACGCACGCACACACACGCACACGTTCACACCCACACACCCACACACGCACGAACGCACGCACGCACGCACACACACACACGCACGCACGCACGCACGCACGCACCCACACTCACACACTTTTCAGCCGGCGGCGCAGAGGAACCTTAGGTGCGGTCCGCACATGAAGGTGCCAATTGCGAACGGACTTAGTCGAACGCGCCGCGATAAAAGGATCCAGCCACAATCATGCAGATTTGTGGTGGTGGTGAAAAGGTGAGACACCACACACACACACACGCACGCACGCACGTACACGCACAAACACGCACACGCACGCACACACGAAAACACACACACAAACACGCAAACACGCAAACACACACAGACACACAAGCACACAACATCACAACCAAACAACCACGCACACACAAATACACACACGCACAGACGCATGCAAACACACAAACACGCAACACACAACCACACAAACTCGCAAACACACAACAGCACAAACACACATACACACAAACACACAAAGACACGAAACCACACAAGCACATACAAGCACACAACGACACAGACAAACACACAAGCACACAACCACACGCAAAAACACAACCACCCAAACACGCAAACATGCAAACACACGAGCACACACATACACACAACCATACCAACACACAAACATGCACGCACACACGAATGCAGACACAGACGCACAAACACAAACGCACAAACGCACAAACACACAAACACACACAAACACACAAGCACATAAACACACACAAGCACGCAAACACACAACCACTCGACCACACAAACGTGTAAACACATAAACGCGCAAACACACAAACACACATACATAAACACACACAAACGCACACGACTACAAGAACACACATACGCACACACATAACGCACATACATAACACACAAACGCACACACATAACCGCACAAACACGCACATAACACACTCACACATCAAACACAACAGCGCACACACATAACCGCACAACACACACAACCACACACACACGCAAACACGCACACGCAAAAACACACAAACACACAAACTCGCACGACACACAAAGTCACACACACAAGCACACAAACACACAAACACATAAACACATCAACAAGCACGCACACACACACACACGTACGCACACAAACACACAAACAGACAGACACACACACAAACACACACAACCACGCAACACACACAAACACACAACCACACAAACACACACCCGCTCGAACACACACGAACACGCAAACACACAAAACCACAACCACACAAACACACTTTTTTGGTCTGCGGGGCGAGAGCGAACCTCTTCCGGTACAACCACACAAACACACAAGCACACAACCGCACACAAAGACAAACACACACAAGCACACAAACACACAAAACCACAAAACACACAACCACACACACACGCAAACACTCAGACACACACGAACGCACACAAACACACGAACGCACAAACACACAAACACGCACGCACACACAAACTCACACACAGACACGCACAAATCTACAAACACACAATCACACAAACACACAAACACACAAACACGCAAACACGCAAACACACAAAGACGCAAACACACAACCTTACAAACACACATAAATACACACGCACACTCAGACACACACACACAAACACCCACAAGCACACAAGCACACAAAGACACAAGCACACAGAAACACACAAGCACACAAAGACACACACAGACACACAAGCACAACCACACACACACACACACACGCAAAACACAAACACACAAACACGCAACCACACGAATACGCACGCACACACACGTTCACATAAAAAGACACAAACCAAACACACAAACACATAAACACACACGCACACTAACACACAGACACACTCACAAACACGCAAACACACAAACACACAACTGCACACAAACACGCAAACACACAACCACAAACACACATTACCACACAAACGCGCCAACACACAATCACACACAAAGACACGAACGCACACACACAAACACACACAAGCCGACAAACGGACAAACACACAACACACAAACACAACTACACAAGCACGCATACACGCAAACACACAAACACACAAACACGCGCGCACACACAAACTCACACACAAACGCACAACCACACAAACACATAAATACACAAACACACAAGCACACAAGCACACAAAACCACAACCACACACACGCAAACACGCACACACAAACACACAGCACACACAAACACAAACACACAAACACGCACGCACACACAAACTCACACACAAACGCACAAACACACATAAACACACAAAGACACAAACACACAATCACGCAAGCACACAAGCACGCACACACGCAATTACACAGATACACAACCACACAAACAAGCAAACACGCAAACACACAAACACACAAGCACGCACGCACACACAAACTCACACACAGACCAAAGACACAAACTGAACACACACACAACACACACGCTTCTCTTCCAGTGCGCTGCTGGAAGCAGCCCGCGAGCCCAAAAGCACTGGGTCGGGCTAAGCCCAAGCAGGTCGACATGCTGCAGGCGGCGTCGCGGCCGAGCTCGTCAGCAAAAGACAAAACCTCCTCCTTCTACTGCACAGCCGTAGTGCAACACCGGAGCCCTTCCGCGGCGGCGGCCCCGGCGACACGCTGTGGCTTGCAAGCGGAGGGCGTATCGCTCCGCTCCGCGGGGTGGGGGGGGACTGGGAAGAGGCTCGGGGCGCTGATGCCTGGGCTGGGATGTGGTGATTCGGGGCGTCCACAACGGGGGCGTCCAAGAGGGGGGGTTCGCAACTCATGGCCAGAGGCATGCGCGCGGACGAGGGGGTTGGACCAGGGGGTGCATTGAAATACGAAGCGGGGGTCATGATACTCGGGGAGATCTCATGGCCCCCTCCATGATGATCCTGGATAGCTCCCTAGAGCTAAGAGAGGGTTGCTATATAAGAAGCCGGAGCCGCAGGGTAGCCCCGGAGGTCGTTCCGGTTTTCGTTTTCCAGCGCCGCTGCGCCCTGCTTGAGCCTGCAGCGTTTTCCTGCAGGCCTTTTAAGCGTTTCCCAGCACGCGTGCCCGGAAGCTCTCCAGAAGGTCCTTCGGAAGCTCTCTCCAGGCCCTTCCAGAGTCGATCGCCAGGCCTTTCCACGCCCTTCGGGCGCCCTGCTCTCCAGGTTTTGGACTACACAAGTAGCCCCCACGCCCCCGAGGTTAACGTGTCGCGCCGAAGCGTGGTGGGCCAGAGCTGGCGGCACCGTCGTGCCAGCACCCCCTGGTCCTCTGTGCGGCCCGAGGACCCCTCGGCTCGGACCATGAAAAAAGGCGGGAACTGTGGGGCGAGGTGGTGGCTGTGGGGGTGGTGGTGGCGAAAAAAGGCGAGGTGGTGGCTGGGCGGACCACGAAAAAAGGCGAGGTGGTGGCTGTGGGGGAACTGGAGGGAGGCAAGATAAGGTGGGGCAGCGGCCAGAGGCCAGCTCGCGGGCAGCTCTAGCCTCTAGCCCCCTCCTGCCTGCCTCGGAGTCCGAGGCGCTGTCGCCTGCCTCCGACGCCGACTCGCAAGCCTCCCCTGCTCTACCAGGAACGGGGAGGAGGAGAGAAGGGAGGGCAGGGACGGAGGAGGAGGAGGAGGAGGAGGAGGAGGAGGAGGAGGAGGAGGAGGAGGAGGACGAGGAGGGGAGGAGGAGGGAGGGAAGAGAGGGAGGTCGGGAGGAGGAGGAGGCGGAGGGAGGAGGAGGTCGGAGGAGGAGGTCGGAGGAGGAGGAGGTCGGGAGGCTGTTGGTGCGGCGCGCGGCTGCTGCCCGGGGGTGCTAGCGATTGCCTGCGTGGCCGAGCCTGGGCGCGTGGCGCCAAGAGCGCCGAAGGCCCGCCACCGGCACCGCCGCCAGGCGCAGCCGTCCAAGGGAGCGGCACGCGTGGCAGCGCCGACCGGCAGCGAGCGCTGGCGCGCGGGGCGCCGAGGGCGGGGGGGCAGCGGACGGAGAGGGGGGGAGGGGAGGACTGGCGGGACGCGAGGAGCGAGAGCTGGGCTGGCCACGGGAGGTACCGGCGGGTGACGTGAGAAGGGCGTGTGTGTGGGGGGGGGGGTTAGGGTTTAGGGTTTAGGGTTTGGGGGGGGCCGTGGGACGGAAGACTGTCCAGAGAGGGGAGGAGAGAGACGGGCAAGGGAAGGATGATGATGAGGCGGACGGGGAGGATGAGGATAGGGGGTGGAGGAGGGAAGACGGGAGCTTGCAGGGAGAGCGGAGGAGAAGAGGACGGGGGCCATGGGGAGGAGAGGGGAGGGACGAGGAGTAGAAGGGGGGAGGGGCGGAATGAAGGGTGAACGCGAGCCAGGCCCCAAGGGTCCTCGAAAGTCGCGTGGTGCTCGTGGCGATCCTTCATGCCTGCGATCTCCCGAGCATGCCTCGCGAAGAGGAGGGAACACGGATGAGGAAGAGGAGAAAGAGGGTGCGGGGGAGGAGGAGCCGAGGCAGCAGGCGTGCCGCGAGAGACAGCCGGCCCCCGCCCCCCGCATTACAGTGAGAAGACAGAGAAGGGGGCACGAGAGAAGATAGGGTGCAGTCAAAGTCTTGCCGTCAGGAACCCGGCACCGGGATCCCAGGTCACCCGACTTCGCGCGTGGCGCGGTCACACGTCGGACCTAGGCCACAATAGCATCCTTCAAGAACATGAGACCCTCCGCTGGTCAAACTGAAGTGCATTCGAGGGTACCCTCCCCCAGGATGCACCAGAGCATCCAACAAACACAAAAAAGATTAGGGCACCCTCCCCGAACCGACCTCGATCTTGCACCTCGGTCCGTACGAGTGAAGGAGGGGTGCAGTCAAGGTCTTGCCGTGAGGAACCCGACAGCAGAAGCCCAGGTCACCCAACCTCGCGCGTGGCGTTGTTACAAAACGTGTAATTATTTAGGACGGGTGGTAAGGAAGCAAGACCCTTGGAGGCCGAAGTTGTATTTTTTGGGGCGGCGGGCGACCAGTGACAACGGCAAAGGACGGGCCGCAGAGGCAAGGACACAGGGGCACCCTAGATGGAGGCGCGCGCCCTTACTAGGCGCGTTGACTGTACCCGCGCGCCCTCGCGCAGCGACCCTGGACAGGGAGCGGTGCTCAGGCCCAGGCGCCGCAAGGAGCGCGGGGAGCGATTCTGTTCTCCAGCGCTCTCTCGCGGGCGACCAAGGGAGCGAACATGCCCCTCCCAGAGGATCAAGCTGAAGGGGCCCAGGGACACACACACACAAACAGGCAGACACAGATCAGAGGATTCCCCGCGTCTTCCCCTGTCTTGATCGAGCCTCGTCTCCCCCCCCCATTGTCTTTACATCTGCCCCTCTTTTCCGGGGGAGTCCACCAGTCTTCGTGCCCGTGCCTGTTGCCCCTCCCGAATCGAGCCACGACACGCGCGCACACGTTTCCTCGGAACCACCGCGCGGCTCTGGAGCGTCCGTGCTGGACCCCCTCGCCCGGCGGGCGAGAAAACCCGCCCGGGGCGGCGCCGGATGCGCCGCCAAAGGGGGGGGGTACAGAGTCGACCCAAGAACTCCGCGCGGTCCTCCGACAACTTCTGCTCGTTTTTTTTTTGTTGGGGGGGGGGGGCCCTCAACACTCACCCCCAAGGGAAGCTCGCCGCCAAGAAATCCGTGCGGACCTCCGACAACTTCTGCTCGTGTTTTTTTGTTTTGGGGGGGGCCCTCGACACTCGCCCCAAGGAAAGCTCGCGGAAGCCGGCGGAACGAGCCCACACGACCAAGAGTGGCGAAACAAAAGTTCACGCGCCCGAGATAGGTCAACGCTGGCGCACCCAAGATTTGCAGAGTCGGCCGAGTGCGCGACCCCGCACACTAGCCCGACCGCCGCGTGCCCACATACTCAGCAGGAACAGGCTGCGGTGCTCAAATCGAGATGAAGCCAGGACGAGGACATACACGGATAAGAAACACGATTGAGAATCTCCGAGGTCCCACGGCTCTGGAAGCTGTATCGGGCGCCGCGGCCTTCTCAGAGAGTTTCGGAACTCTCTGAGAGTGCTCCAGAACGCCCTGGAGCAGATCTACCTCGTGCTAGCCCCATCCGACGATAGTTTGACCGCCGCGTGCCCACCAGCTTAGCAGCAGCAGCCCGCGGTGCTCAAGTGGTCGACAGATGCTCCCGGCAGCGTGGGTCCCCCTGGGGGGCGGGGCGCCGGACACTCGTGGCCGGACTCCTGCCGTGGCGCCTGTGGTCGCTGGCCCTCTGAAGCCGCGCACGTCGCTCCGTCTTGAGCGACCCTGCGGCAAGCCGAAGAGGAGGGGGTCATCGCAGCCGAAGAGGGGGAGGAGGAAGAGGAGGAGGGGGAGCAGAAGGAGGAGGAGGAGGAGGAGGAGGAGCAGGAGCAGGAGCAGGAGCAGGAGGAGGAGGAGGAGGAGGAGGATGCACGATGAGGATGCAAGGGCCTCGGCGGGCCGTGCTGACACCCTGCGAGCGGGATGCGCGGCCAGCGACGGCGGCCAAGCACGGGGCCGGAGGGGAGGGATGCAATGGGGCACCCCGGAAAGTGGCTCATCCCTGCCAGGTGCGGGTTGGCTGTATACCCGACAGCGGAGACCACCCGGCATCTACTCAGCTCGGGTCAACTGGGGATGTCGGCGGCGAGCCACGTCGTCGTCGTCGTCGTCGTCGTCGTCGTCGTCGTCGTCGTCGTCGCGGGCCCAACGGGGCGACCCAGCATCTGCCCGGCTCGGGCCAATTGGGCGTGCCGAGCCAGCGGAACGTGAGATCTGCGGCCCGTGGACGGCCCCAGGTCGGCCCGGCTGGGCCCCCGCACCGCGGCGGCGTCGGGGGGGGGGGCCCAGCGGCAGCGGGCCGCAGCAGGGCACGCCACAGTAGGGGCCCGAGCACACGAAGCCTTCCTCAAGGAACCCAACCCTGAGACCCCAGTACACGTCGGCCGGAAGAAGTAGGTAAAAACATGAAGTAGGAAGGCAGAGAAAGTGGATTGGGTCCAGGACCTCCCAGATAATAATAAACACAGCAACAGCAAACCGATTGTTGAAGTAGGAAGGCGCTTGAAGTATATTAGGATGTGGGAATCCCAGAATACCTACTTTCAACGACCGGCGTGTACGTCCATTGACGTTTGGTGTGGGAACGTCACGCCTTCCACAGCAAAACCATCGAAAACCCAGAGCACGCTGGAGGCAAGCAGGGTGCCTCTCGGCAGGGGTCTCCACTGCATCCCGAGGCGAACAGCGCAAAAACGATCGCGGCGAGGCCCGAGGCGGTGGTGTCCCTCCGCCCCGCGCGCCCGGCGCCGCCGCGGCCGCCCCGCCGCGCCCAGCGCGGCGCGGGCGGTGCGGCCCCACCCGCCACGGCCGGCGCGACCCTCGGGGGGGTCGGCGGGCGCGCTTGTCGTGGTTGCCCTTGAGTTCTGTCAGCATCCTCAGGTGCTTGTCGGCGCTGTCCCCGACCTCGAGGGGCCCGGGGCGGGGCGGGGCGGGCAGGACCCAACCTGACGCACTTGTGAGTACCGCGTTGTGGGTACCCACCGCCTTCGGTGGACCTCCGTTTGGGACCACGAAACGTGTGAGGGGTGCGGTGGTGCCATGCGGGCGGTGGTGCGACGCGGGCGCTGCCACTGGGGCCTTCGGTCGAGCCACCCCTGGGGCCACGGAGCGTGCGAGGGGTGTTCCGAAACGGGCGCGGTGGTGCCATGCGGGCGCTGCCACTGGGGCGCTAGGTCGAGCTCCCTATTGAGCCACGAAGCGTGTGAGGGGTGCGCCGAAATGGGCGCGGTGGTGCCATGCGGGCGCTGCCACTTGTGGGGGGCTTCGGTGGAGCTCCCTAACGGGCCTACGAAGCGTGGGACGGGTGTGGCGAACTGGGCGCGGTGGTTCCATGCGAGCGCTGCCGCTGGGGCCTTCGGTGGAATTCCCTATGAGGCAACGTGTGCAGGGTGCGCCGACATGGGTGCGGTGATGCCATGCGAGCGCAGTCACTGAGGCCCATTGTGGAGCTCCCTATGGGAGCACGAAACGTGCGAGGGGTGCGCCGAAATTGGTGCGGTGGTGCCGTGCGAGCACAGCCACTGTGGCCTTCGGTGGAGCTATGGGGCCACGAAACGTGTGAGGGGTGCGCCGAACTGGGCGCGGTGGTGCCGTGCGAGCGCAGCAACGAAAGAACGGGATCTTACGCGAGAAGACATGGCGGCCCTACGCCGCGGCTTTCGCGGGCCGCCACCGTGGCACACCTCGTGGCGAAGAAGGCGCTCACTCGCGGCCTCGCGCAGGACGCGTGCGCGCGAGTGTCTGCGCAATTGACTCAACGTAGATCTCCCTCCGACGCCGGAAAAGGGGTGGGTGGGTGGGGAGGGAGGAGGCGGCGCCAGACGCAAACCCCTGAGATGGGGGGGGGGGGCACCATTTTTTCTTTTATATACAAAAAAATCACTGGGCGTCTTTCTGCCCGCTCTCGGACCCCGAGGCCGGGCACAGACCGATCCAGCTCGAAGACATGCCGAAAGAAGATTGGGCTCAAGGCCGGGTCGTGAAGTTTCTTTTTTTGATTTGCGGGCCGCAAGGAAAAGTCCAGAGGGCGGTCAGAACGAGGCTGGGGCACAGCGCACGATGATTAGCGTGAGAACGCGTGGAATGCACATGCAAGACAATGATCGTGAAGTTTCGCGACGCTGCATTTTTTGTCCGCAGCGTCGGGTCTCAGGGGTCGTGCGGCCGCGCTGCTCGGCCAGAAGGCCGGGGGGACAGAGGCGGGGAGGGGCTGTCGACGGGCGGCGGCGGCGCGACGGAGGAGTTAGTGCGGGAGCCTCTGCATCGTCGTCCATCCCTTCCCCTGATAATGAACAACTCCTCCCTGCCGCGCCCCCAGACGTGTCGGCCAGGCGGGCCGCGCGTTCCGCCCAGGACTCTCCTGCAACTTATGGTTCTGACGCTTGAACTTTGCGGGTGTTTCGAGGAAGGCGGGCGGATCGTTTTAGACATGTGGCTCTCGCCCTGGCGCCACGCACATTCGTCCTAAACGTTTGCAGCAGTTTCACGTATGGCAGGCGATTCCTTTTCGACATGTGGCTCTCGCCTTAGCACCGCGCGCATACGTTTTACAAGCTTGTAACAATTTCACCGATGGAGGGTGGATCCTTCTCAAAATGTGGCTCTCGCCTTACGCCTGCGCACATTCGTCAAAACAGTTCGTATCAATTTCAACGATGGAGGGCGGCTCATTCTCACAATGTTTCCCTCGTCCTAGCGCCGCGAACATTCGTCTTAGACGTCTGCAGCAGTACGAAGGGTGCGTATGGTTGAAGTCTCAAGGACGGCGTTCTGGCACGTCTTAGGATTGTTCGGACGCGCCCAATCACGTTAATTCGAGGTGTTGGAGTCCAAAGAATTGTGTTCTGGAAGGGTCTCAAAAGGTTACCTGTCGTTGGGACATCTCCCGCAATTGCACAAATCTGGTAGGGACCTGTAAGAAGGGGAACTGGGTGGGAAATTATATTGAACGTCGTTGGTGCGTTCTCGGTTTGCACTCCTCCTCTCCTTCTTCTCCTCCTCCTCCTCCTCCTACTCCTCCTCCTCCTCCTTCTCCTCCCCCTCCCCCCCTCTCCCTCCCTCTCCTCTTCCTCCTCCTCCTCCTCCTCCTTCTCCTCCTCTCCCGCCTCCTCCTCCTCCTCCTCCTCCCCCTCCTTCTCCTCCTCCTCCTCCTCCTCCTCCTCCTCCTCTCCCTGAGTTTAGAATTTTAAGCTCCGAATTCCAGGGTCGGTGCCCTCCTGCCCTCTTCCTTCTCCTCCTACTCCTCCTCCTTCTCCTCGGCCTGGTCTTCCTCCTCTTTCTCCTCCCCCTCCTCCTCCTCCTCCTCCTCCTCCTCCTCCTCCTCCTCCTCCTCCTCCTCCTCCTCCTCCTCCTCCTCCTCTCTCTCCTCCTACTCCTCCTTCTCTCCTGGCGGGGGGGGGGGGGAGGAGAGGAGAGAAGGGAAGGAGAGGAAGGAGAGGAGAGGAGGAGAGGAGGGGAGGGGGGGAGAGGAGGAGACGAGAGGAGACCAGAGGAGGGGAGGAAAGAGGAAAGGAGAGGAGAGGAGAACATGAGAGGATAATGAGAGAGGGCAGAAAAGAGGAGAGATGAACATGAGAGGAGAGCAGAGGGCAGCAGGGGAGCAGAGCAGAGGAGGATAGGAGAGGTGGAGAGGAGAGGATGAGAAGAAAGGAGGTCAGGAGCAGACGAGGAAGAGGAGGAGGAGGAGGAGAAGGAGGAGGAGGAGGAGGAGGAGGGGGAGGAAGAGAAGGATGAGGAGGGAGACGATGAGAGGAAGGAGTGGGAGGGAGGATCATGAGGAGGAGGAGGAGGAGGAGGAGGAGGAGGAGGAGGAGGAGCAGGAGGAGGAGGAGGAGGAGGAGGAGGAGGAGCAGGAGCAGCACCAACGGTCCGATGATTTACCTCTAACTAACGACGCAGCCAGGGCACCCGAGAAGAAGGAAGATGAGCGGACCAGGCGTTCGAGAACCACTCAAGGGGGCTCGACAGTCTGCGGGGCCCTGCAGGGGGAGACCCCTGGCACAGGCGAGACCCCCCAGTTGGGGACGCCTCGGGGGCTCGCCTATGCACTCCACCACTTGACGGGCCAGAGGCAGACGTCGAAAAAGCCCACCCCAGCGCAGCCCCGACTGGGAGTCCCGAAGAGGGACCGCCCAGACGTCGGAGGGCCTCGAGGACCCGAAGAGGCGGCCCTCCCCCAGAGAGCTCTCGGCGAGCCGCAGCCTACGTGGGGCCCCGGAGAGGGCCCGCACCCGTTCGGCGTGGAGGAGGAGGAGGAGGAGGAGGAGGAGGAGGAGGAGGAGGAGGAGGAGGAGGAGGAGGATGGAAAAGAGGGGAGGGGAGGAAGGACCATGGGGAGGAGGAGGAGGAGAAGGAGGGGGAGAAGGAGGGGTAGAGGAGGAGGTGGAGCATGAGAGAGATGCTGATAATTAGTGAGGATGGTGATAATGACGGTGACGATGATGATGGTGATGATGGTGATGACGATGATAATGATGAGAGGTGGTGATCAGATGATGAGTGCCGAGGGGGAGGAAGGATGATGGGGAGGGGAAGGAAGAGGAAGAGGAGGAGGAGGCAGGAGGGGGGAGGACGGGGAAGGAGGAGGGGGGCGGAGGCGGAAGAGAAGAGAGGGTGTGCCTCCTTCTCGAGGAAGGCGATCCGCTCCGGCATGGTGGCGTGGAGCTGGTGCTGCCGCGGGCCGCTCCCCGCGCGGCCCCCGCCCGCCCTCCGCCCGGCGCGCCCCCTGCGGCCCTCGCCTCTCGCGCCCCTGCCCGCCCCCTCCTCGCGTCGACCTCCTGCCGCCGAGCCGCGCCGGGCGCGCCGCAGGACGCCGACGCCAAACCGACCGACCGCGTCGGCCCCAGCGTTAAGTCGGGCGTGTCCCCCTACAGGGGGATTTTCGACGAAAAATGCACCAAAAAACCCACAACATACCCCAAAATTGTAAAAAAGAATGCTAGAAAAATGGTCCCCAGACTATGTTTCGACTATTTTGGGCTATTTCTTCCGTATTTTTTGTTTTTCGTCGAAAATCCCTCTGTAGGGGGACAGGCCCGACCGAACCCCAGCGCCGCCCGCGCGGGGCGCCCCCGGCGGGCGCGCGCGGCGCGCCAGCGCGTCGGCCGGCGCTGCTGCGGAGGCCTGCGCGGCCTCGCGCCCGAGGGCGGTCGGGAGCGCGACAGGGTCTCGGCGCGTGGTTTGGTGGTCTCCAATCGGGGAGACGTAAGACCCGGGTACGGGGGACTCGGGTTGGCCCGACGAGGTCGTCAAAAAAATGACGAGGCCGAGCCTGCATTTTGACGAGGCCTCCCGCTGCAGACATCCCACGAAACTCCTCCTCGTCAAAATCCGAAGCGCGGTCGTCAAAAAACGATGGCGAACCCGAGTCCTGGCAAACCCGGGTCTTACGCTCCCCCGATCCAAACCAGGTGGTGAGACACCCGGTGGTGACCCCGATTCCCCCCCAGAAAATAATTCTGGGTCACCACCGGGTTTGGGGACACGCGGTCGCCACGAGGTTTTGCGTTTCCGGGGCCAGCCAACGCTCGAAAGCCATGACCCAAATCGCCCCAAACTCACCACCGGGTGTTCTCACCACCACGTTTGGGGACCACCAAGTGGTGGCGAGACTCGGGCGAGAAGGCTGGGGGGGGAAGAACGGAGCGGAGGCAGCAGCAGAGCCGGCAGGGGGGTGCCACTGTCTCTGACGCCAAGGGGCGCAAGCCAACTCCGGCAGTGGGTGGGCCGTCGGGGTACGATCGTTTGTATTGCATGGGCGCGCTGAAGGAGGCGCAGCAAAATTGTAATTCGGGTGGCAAAAGAGAGAACCTCCATTCAACAATAAGACCTCCTCCTCCTCCTCGACCTCCTCCTCCTCCTCCTCCTCCTCCTCCTCCTTCTTTCCTCCTCTTCGCACAATGCCATGACTAGTTCGATACATCATTCCTCCAGAATTTCGGGCTCCAGGGGGCCCGTCTCGTGCCCCAGACCATCGAACACGATCTGGATTAAGAAATGGACTCCAAGGAAAGATTGAGAGGTCTTGGAGCCACAAACGGAACAAATCGTGCTGGCAAGCCCGCGGAATGGTAGACAACCAAAACAAAGCCCACGGACTGACTCCAGGACAGGGCTTCGTTGATCGCAAAGCCGATGCCTTGCCTTGTGCTCGGGGCGGTCTGCATAAACCACCACAGGGACCACACCCTTGGAGAAGGTTCGCCTGAGAAGCTTGGGCTATCTTCCAGCCCAGATCTTGGGCAAACGCCTGACAAGACTTCAGATTGCGCACAGACGGCCCCAGCAAGTAGTCCTGGCTAGCCTGAACAGGAGGCCCCCCGAAGAGTCCCAGCTGGCTCAACAGGCCCCCCGAGTAGTCCGGGGCGGTCTCAATACCCTGGCGCCGCCTCAGGCGCCAGGGTTGAGGCGTAGAGACCGCCCCGGACTACTCGGGGGCCTGCTGAGCCAACCGGGACTACTCGGGGGCCTGTTGAGTGAGGCCACCCAGGACTATCTGGGTTGAGCAGGGACCGACCGTCCCGGCATTCCTGTATTCCTACCACGAAGTGTTCTTAGAACCCAAAAATGTTCTAAGAACAAAACGATGTTCTTAGAACATAAACCCAAAGTGATAAAACAAGGCACTCCCAGCCAGAAATGTTCTAAGAACATTCCGTGGAAACCACAAGAGGTTCTTAGAACATTGTTTGGTAGGGCTATAGGCGAGACAGGAAGCTTCGCCACTGCTCGACTGGGGGAGCCGTCTGTGCAGTCCGAAGCCTTCCCACACACGCCGACATAATCCAGATGGACACCCCGGCCACGCGCACGGCGGGGGGAAGGGGCGGACACTGAGTGGCCTCTCGGGTTCTGCTCCGGAAGCAGTGAGCCAAGCGAAAAGAGGTTTTTCAACTTGGCGCCGGCGGTGAACCGTCAACCTTGGCTGCCGCCGGGGGACTCGTAGAGCTTCCTTCCCTGCGGTAAGACGGCTACAGCGCGGAAGTGGATGTTCGCGGCAGGCCGGACAGGAGGTCTGTCTCGAAGTTTCGAACCAAGTCGCCCCCGCGTTCTCTCTCTCTATATATATACATACACGTCAGGGCTCTGCAGCTGCTTAAGATTCCGAAATGTAGCGAACACGTCATCTGTAGCAGCAGAGCAGCTGCAGGGTAATGCTAGTTTCCGACTGTAGCAAGCAGAACTCAAGTCTGCCGAAACTGCAGAGCGCAACTCTTGATCATGCCCGCGCTCCCGATACAGGAGTGTTCGGTGGCTGCTCTAGATTTCGAGACGTCGCACAAAAGTGCCGTTCGAAACAACATATCAATTTTTTACTGCTAATACTAAAGATGATACTGCTGTTTTCGTATGTAACTCGATTGGCAGACCGAGCTCGAGTCTCTCGAGACTGCAGAGCGAAACTCTTCTTCACGCCCGCGTGCCCTATACGGGAGAGCTCTGTAGGTGTTGTTTGCCCCGCAACTCCAATATTAGCCTGGCGGAAGACTCAACCATGTGCAGTTGCGAATAACGCAGTTGTGAGTACCGTCTTCGGTGGAGCTCCCTATGGGGCGACGAACGTGTGAGGGATGCACCGAAATTGGCGCGGTGGGGTGTGCCGAAATCAGCACTGTAGCGCCATGCGAACGCAGCAACTGGGGCTTTCGGTGGAACTCCCTATGGGGCCACGAAACGTGTGAAGGTGTGCCAAAAAATGGTGCGGTGGTGTCATGCGAAGGCAGCCACTGGGGCCTTCGGTGGAGCTCCCTATGGGGCCACGAAAGGTGTGAGGGGTGTGCCGACATGAATGCGACGGTGCCATGCGAGCGCCACCACTGTGGTCCTCCGTGGAGCTCCAAGCGTTCGAAAGGTGTGCCGGAATGGGCGCGGTGGTGCCCAGCGAGCGCAGCCACCAAGGCCTTCGGTGGAGCTCCCCATGGGGCCACGAAAAGTGTGAGGGGTGTGCCGACATGGACGCGGTGGTGCCATGCGAGCGCAGCCACTGGGGCCCTCGGGGGAGCTCCCCATGCGGTCACGAAGCGTGTGCAGGGTGTGCCGAAACGGGCGCGGTGGCGCCACGCAAAGGCAGCCACAGGGGCTGCGGCGGAGCTCTCTATGGGGCCACGAAGCGTTCGAAAGGTGTGCCGAAATGGGCGCGGTGGTGCCGTGCGAGCGCAGCCACTGGTGCCGTGCGAGCGCAGCCACTGAAGCCACGAAACGTGTGAGAGGTGTGCCGAAATGGGTGCGGAAGCGCCGTGCGAGCGCAACCACTGGCACGAAACGTGTGAAGGGTGGGCCGACATGGGCGCGGTGGTACCATGCGAGCGCAGCCACTGGGGCCTTCGGTGGAGCTCCATATGGTGCCACGAAGCGTGTGAGAGGTGTGCCGAAATGGGCGCGGTGGTGCCCTGGAGCGCAGCCACTGGGGCCCTCTGGAGAGCTCCCCATGATGGGGCCACACAGCGTGTGAGGGAGTGTGCCGAAATGGGTGCGGTGGTGCCATGCGAGCGCAGCCACTGGGGCTGCGATGAACCTCCATATGGGGCCGCGAAGCGTGTGAGGGCTGGGCCGACATGGTTGACTGGTGCGGAGGGCACAGGCAAGGATGGGCGGAGGGGGCAGCGGGAGAAAGGAAGGAGACGCGGGGCGCTGTCTTTGCAAAGCGAGGACCCAACACCAACAGGATGGTTGGGAACTAACACTTCGAAGCAACATAACGATGGTTGGGAACACACAATTCGAAGCAACAAAACACTTGCATGCTGACAGTCGTGTGTTTTCTGTTTTGTTTGTTTTTTCTCCGAATATAGCTCGAGTGTCACACCGCGCACAGGCGTCTCTAGACTGCACAGCGAAGCTCTCAATCGTACCCTCGTTCCCTCCACGGGAGAGCTTCGGAACTGCTGTGGGTCCAGAGATTTGAGAGAGCGCGTTCCGTGGGCGCTTGCTTTGAAAAGATGCCCCCCCCAGCCAAGAAACCTGGGGGGGTGGGGGGGGGGCGGGGGGACCCCCGTAACGGCGCGCGAACGCCCCAAAGGTCCGTTCCCGTTCCCGTTCCCGTTCCCGCCGCCCGTGCCACTTCCAGAGGATAGAAGGGGAGGAGGGAGGGAGGGAGAAGCGAGGAGGGAGGAGGGAGGGAGGGAGGGACAGAGGGAGGGAGGAGGGAGGAGGGAGGAGGAGAGAGAAGGAGGGAGGGAGGGAAGAGGGAGGAGGAGAGAGAAGGAGGGAGGGAGGAGTGAGGAGGGAGAAGGAGGGAGGAGTGAGGAGGAGGAGGGAAAAGGACCATCGTCATCATGATCATCATCAGCAGCAGCAACATCATCATCATTATCATCATCAGCAGCAGCAACACCATCATCACCATCACCATCACCATCACCATCAACATCATCATCGCCATCGCCATCATCATCATCATCATCATCATCATCATCATCATCATCATCATTATTATTACCATCATCACCATGATGATGATGATGATCATCATCATCATCATCATCATCATCATCATTACTATTAGCATCATCATCACCACCAACATTACCATGAACACGACAACAACCACCAATATCTTAACAATCATCATCAACCATCACCGTCATCATCAGTCGTCATCACCATCACCACCACCACTATCACGATCACCATCACCACCACCACCATCATCATCGCCATCAGCACCATCA